AATCCAAGGGTCCAAAGGAATGCTAGTTGTTCAAGCAACATACATAACTTTATTAGTGCACTTGAGTGAAGAAAGGTCCAAGCTACAAAATGGTATTTTTCAATGAATGTTATTAGAATCCATTAGCATTCACCCACCACCACCACCACCTGATATTTTATTTCATGTAATTTAGTATACCTCTTATGGAAGGTTCTATCTTGTCTTGCATTACTCTTATGTAACTTTGTGAAACTATTCAAAAGAGAGTAACAAATAATATAACTTACGTAAAGTGCTTTGCAAACCTTACAGCATTCTATAAATGTTAGCTATTATCACTGTTATTATTCCAAGGGAGAATAACAAGTACATCATGTAACATTTATCAGATCTTTTTCTGGTTATAGAAAGCTTCAAATTTCTATGATCTAAAAATTACTATACCCATTTTACATGAAATGCAAAAGAAAACTGACAGAAAACTCCCAACACATGAGTCCAAAGACCAACCCAATATTTTTATAGGTGCAATAATGCTGAATTTGACTCTCACTGAAGCTAGCCTCAAAACAATGGGATAATGAAAACTGCAATACTTGGAACCTAACTTACTGATACAAATAAAAACACAACTTTCAACTGAGGATATTACTGGTTGAAAATGCACACATAATAAAACTTTTTTAAAATGAAAAATTTTTTAACTTACCATGACCTAGAAAACTTTCTTTCTCAACTTGGTAACCTCTACCACTAACCCTATAGCTGCTCCCTTCTTTTCTAACTTAACCACCAACATTCTAGTCAGAACAAAAGGTTCACTTCAAAGCACAACTCGCTTTTTAAACTAACAAACATTGAAAACAAAGCATATTTGTTTGCAGCACTATCAATGTCTACCTACATCTCTATAAAGAATTAATCCCAAATCTCGTATTCAATAAGTAGTGCAGAAGACAGAAATCTTATTTATCAAGAATAAATTGCTCTAGTTTTTAAAAACACAAGGAAAAACACTTATTGTGCATATATGTGAATTCAAGATAATTTCCACAAATGCTTCCAATAATTTATTTAGCCTCATTCATAGTTAATAAAAGCCTAAACTAAAAAGCTTTATTAAATACTGACATACCAATGAAAGGTACATCTCTTATTCCTTTACTATAAAACAGACTATATAGTGTAGTATAAAAATGAAGTTTTAGCTTACCCTCTGATCACCACCTTCTCTTCGAGGATCAAGTTTTTTTGCAAAGTGTCTCAAATTATCATAGTTATGGAAATTACACAAAGAAACCAGATCCTGTAAATTAAAGAGATGATATAAGAAATTAGCTTACTAATTATTAATAATTCATCATGAGTATTCCCAATACAAAATAAAATACATTTTTAAGAAAATGCAGTCAAGTTTTACTTTTATCTTTTCATCAAACCTAAATTTAACTTTTTGTGACTTCCATACCCAAGGGCAGCTAGGTGGTGCACTGCTGGCCCTGATATTAGGAGGACCTGACTACAAAACCAGACTCAGACACTTAACCCTGTTTGCCTCAGTTTCCTCATCATCTGTAAAATGAGCTGGAGAAGGAAATGGCAAACCACTCCAGTATTTTTGCCAAGAAAAACTCCAAATAGGATCCTGAAGAATTGGATATGACTGAAAAAAAACCGAATGAACAACTTCCATCCATTGGTCCTAGTTATGCCTTCTGGGACCAATCATCTGGGGCTCCTCCATATAATGGATCTTCAAACACCAGGAGAACAGTTGTATCTTCCAGGGTCTAAGTCTCTAAATTCCTTCAACAGAGTCTCTCATGACATGAATTTGAGGTCTTCCTCCACCATTATTCTATATCCTTTGTCCTTCCTAAAATGTGATTTCCCAAACTCAAACACAATCCTCTAGAAGAGGAGGCTCTGACCAAGGCAGAACATACTAGAAGGCAACACTTCCCTAGTCATTGACACTAGGTCTCTCTTAATTCAGACTGTTAAATTAATTTTCTTGGTTGCTTTATCACAGTGTTGAATCATATTGCATTTAAAGTCAACTAACCCCAATCTCCTCATTCCCTGTATCTTTTTCAAACTTCTGTTTAGCTATGCCTCACTCACCTTGTATTTGGGAAATTACTTTTATTAAGCTAAGTAAAAAATTTGAAATTTAGTTCTATTAAATTTCATTATGCATTCAGCTAAAAGCTCTAACCTGTACAGAGCTTTTTGAATCCTAATTCATCCACTGTGTTAGCCACTGCATCGAGAGTTGTGTCATCTGCATACCTGAAAAAAATACCATCTTACCACCCTTAATTTAAATCACCTATTAAAATGTTAAAATATCACATGACCAAGCAAAGATCCATGCCATGGGATACTACCTCACTGGAAACATCCTTCCAAGTTTGCATAACACTCCCAATGATTATTATTCTGTTTCTGGTCATTCAACCAGTTCTAATACCACTTAATTATATGATACTAACTATAGTATTATACTAACCTGGGATCCATGAATTTGTTTTTTTTTAATGTGGATATTTGTATCTGAATGTAATTGGTTTCCTTTGTAATCTTATGTATTTTATTCTAGTTATTTAAAACATTATCCTGAGCACTGGTCCATAGATTTCACCAGACTGCCAAAGGGGTGTATGACAGTAAAAGCTTAATAAACCCTGACTACCTCTCTCCATCTTTCCCACAAAAATAACACCAGACTTTGCCTTCCCTGGGTCTATCAGTTCAGTAACCCTGTCAAGAGGAAATTTTTTCTTGCTGAAGTCACATTGCTTCTTAGTGACCACTGCTTCCTCTTCTGGATATTCACTGATATAAAGATTTGCCCTTTAATGTTCTTTTTTGGCCAGAAATCAAAATCAAGTTCACTAGTCCCTAGCTTGCAGACTCCATTGTCTTTCCCCATCTGGAAACTGGGACAATGCTCCCTTCTCCAATTCTGTGGTATACCTCTCCTGTTCTACGTGAACTTTCCAAGATCACCAATAAGGACTCAGGAATCATATTTGCTAGTTCTTCAATGTCCTGAGATATGGCTCATGGGATCTGTCCTACTGATTCAAACTCATCCAGGTCAGTGAAATTCATTAATGGCAGCAAGATGCTCTCTTATTATCTTATTTATCTTGGGTATCAACCCTCAATGAGACATAGGCAAAAAAGCGTATTATTTTCTAACAACAACAATGACTTAATATTATTTCTTGGGGTAATGACTCTTTGGTTACAATTCTTATTAAGAAAATTTGCTTACATGACAGAAGTGAATTCCCTTAACACTATTGCCCATCTTATCCAATGGAGGAGACCAGCACATCATTCCCATAACATTAGGAACAACTAAAAGAATGCCTCCAGCAACTCCAGATTTTGCAGGAAGACCAACCTGCAAAATATTAAAGAAAAATGTCATTCAAGTTAACATGATGATAAACAGTAAGAAAAGCTAACATTTATATAACACTTTAAGGTTTGCAAATCTATTAAACTTCTGTCAGAAATAGAATTCATATCTTCCTGTCTCTAAGTCTCTAGCACTCAATCCATTATGCCACCTAGTTACCTATAATCTGACTGAAATATGTGATGATGGAATCTTTAAATGCATTAACTTCTTATAGACTACCTGTCCCTATATGCTTGTTACATGGGATACAAAAAATATAAAAAGGAGGGATATCCTATTCAAATTTACTTTCCTCTTCAAAATAACCAACAGCATAAATATTATGCCAATCTTTGTGTTTTGGGTGTTGAGACAATTAAATGGTTACTGAATAAATGACTGAGGGAAAAAAAGTAAAACAAAGGCTCGCCCCCACACACAAACAAGGCTTGAAACATAAAGGATTTTTTTAAGAAATCACATGCTCTTCAAAACTCATAAATGGAAAATATGTAAAAGAGCAGAAGGAAATAGGTTTTTAACAGGCTAACATGGAAAGAGGTTTCTCATGCTTTTAGTCCTTTCCTAGACTAATTAGTAACAGCTTTAAATTGATCTAACTTTAAAACCATTTATGTTAAGAGTTTACCAAACCAATTAAAGGATCACTTTTAAACTTAAGGAATTCTTGAAGCATTAATCACTGCAGTGTTAAACTAAACATTAACAGCTTTAAGTATGTCTCTATTTACCCTGAAAATACAAATGGACATGAAGTATTTCTATAAACTAGTGCTAGAGTTTTTTTTTTTTTCAGTCTTAGAGTTAGGAACAGTAAAGATAATGCTTAGCTGTGTTACTTACCAATTGTGTAATAAATTAACCCTGATAATAAGACTCTTTATGTATAATAAGACTCTTTATGTAGTCATTATACAGTGTAAATGCAAAGTACAAATGTTTTCAGAACATATCTTTTAAAACCAGTCCAGACTAGTTTCTTGCTAGAGAAAATTAGCATGTAGTAATTACTTACATGGAAAGCAAATTGACCTGAGAAGTCATACATGCCACAAGAATGCATCAAACTTAGTGTATTTCGAACCGCTTCAGGGCTCAGCACTCTTTCACCAGTAATTGGGCAGAAACCACCATTAGCTAATGTGGAAGCCATCACACTGGCTGATTCACAAGTCACTTCAATAGAACACAACTAAAAAAAAGAAAGAAGAATTCTGAAAATGTAAATTCTAATTTCTTACAAGACAAATTTAAAATTAACTCCTAGGTTAGGCTATCTGAATTCTTATTTTATGGACATATGACAACTCTGTTCCTGGGGGGATAACACAGTACTATTATACAGGGAGGGGAACCTGTGGCCTTGAGGCCACATGTGGCTCTCTAGGTTCCTTGGGTGCGGCCCTTTCACTGAATCCAGATTTCACAGAACAAATCCCCTTAATAAAAGGATACGTTCTGTAAAATTTGGACTCAGTCAAAGGGCGCACCCAAGGACTTAGAGGGCTACATGTGGCCTCTAGGCTGAAGGTTCCCCACCCCTGTAGGATGATATTACATAGATCTCACTTTACTAAAAAACTTTCTGATAAATGAAATGGCCTGTTATTCTAGAGCAGACTTAGCATTAGAACCCAGTTCCCAAAATGACAATATTAATGAGCCACACAAGTGAGGCTGCATAGTGTAGTGGAAGACTTGATTCAGGCATACTAGCTCTCTCATTGGTAGAAAGAGTTTCTTCACCTGGGGGTTTCCTAAACCAGTGAAATTACAGATCCACTACCCATTCCTCTCCCTCTCAGACAAGTTACTCCAAGCCTTACTTGCCTGATTGCCGAGTGCCTCATGGAGCCCATTATATCCAAATAGTCCCAGACAGACTAGACTGCCCTGTCACTCTCTTGCCAACTACACTACTACTAGATACATACATAGGTTCCTCCCCCCCAATAGTTTTGGAACCATAATCAAACAATGCTGCTATTGGTATGGGAAAGAATTTATCAATCTATTCCTCTATGGCTCTACTCACCATCACTGCAATTTTCCAAACTAAAATATACCTCCCTGGCCACTCCTTCCCAATGTTTTGCTCCCTTATTAGAACCCAGGTTCCTTGAGATCAGAGATTCTCTCCAATTTCATAAATGTATACCTCATCCTTGACACATAGTAAACATTTAATAAATGTCTTTTCATTCATTCGTTCAAGAACGAAGAACCACTTTACATTATATTGCTTAAGCAGGAATACTCAAAGTAAAGGACACATTTTTATTTCAACAACAAGGAAAATGAAACATGCCACATTTTAAAAGTTAAGACAGTGTTAGAACTAAAAAAGTTAAATTAGATGAAGAAAATATTTATTTGATTCCCACAGGTTTCATATACTAGGAACCTACCCCTTCATTGGGACAAATATTTGGCAAGATATTTGGGACAAATTTAAAAATTACATAGAATAAAAAGCACTTAATCCTCTTCCATCTGTATTCTCTCTCTTATTCCTCTACCTCTCTGACCTTTCCTCAGTTTCCTTTGCTGAATCATCATATGAAGCCACCCCTAACTGTGGGTATACTCCAAAGCTCAGTCCTGGATGCCCTCCTTTACTCTCTCTGCATTTTTGGTGACTTAATCAGACCCCATGGGTTTAAATTATTATCCCTACGCAGATGACACCCAGACCTGTATACTGGGCCCTCGGTTCTCTGCCAAGGTCTAGTTCACTAAAGGAATTACAGAAAAGACACAGGTAGGCCTACAGAATTCTGTGTCTCAGAAGGATGTTGCAGCTATCCCAATTCAAGCTACCGTTAAATTAGCACCAGCTCAGTACATCTGGCACAAATTATCTAAGTAAGGAGTGGCTTTCAACTCTGGAGTTAAGCAAAGAGTTATTTGAATGATATAAATGCAGAAAGATCTAGTAGAGCCTCAAAATTAGTAAGAAAAATGTCCAATTAACTATTGGAAATTTCAAACTAGATGTCCCAAAGGGATCTAAAACTCAGTATGTCCATAGTAAAACTCATTATTTTCTTCCACAGACCTATAGCTCTTCCAAACTTTCCTCTCTGTCTTTGTATCTCTAATGCCTTGCACAATGTCTAGTACAGAATATGTACCTGATTAAATGTTTGTTGATTTATTAATTAAACCTCCCAATTTCAGGGGAAAAATATTCAGGTTGTTGAGGAGGAGAGTGAGGGTAGCTAGACAATATGTGGGAACAAGGAGAGAGAAGGAACAGAGTAGAACAACTTTGCGGTGTGGGTTGGATGCTAGTATGTACCTAAACAAGAATATTACCTTATCAAAAATTTTTCTTAAGAAAAAAGATGCTGAACTAAAACGTTTTGTATTTAAACCCAGTTTTCACATTAGAATTTACTTGGGAAATAAGACTGAAAAAAAAAAGAGCAAGCATGTTTGGAAACTTTTCTTTTTAAATGACAAAAATATTAGAAGCCAGAGAATTCACAAAGGGATCTTCAAAAATCAAACATTTCCTATATTTGAACAGCCTCAAATATTTTGGAGTATACCGTATACAGGCAGCAGAGGACGGTATGAAACCAATGTCAGCTAATCAGGAACATGTTTACACATTAAAAAAACTCTGCTACGATCTTACTGTGTGACCTTTAGGCAAGTCACAACCTCTCTGGCCCTCAGTTAACTCAGCTAAACAACAGGAAGTTGGAATACTAAGATCCCTTTCATTTTTAGTCCTTTAGTTCATTTTTCCTCAGTAAATTCCCCTCGTAGCAAAGCCCCTTTTTAACAAAGTCCACAGCACTGAAAACAAAACAATTTTTATAAATGATATTTAGCAGAGTAAGACAGCAAAAATATCCATTTTTATTTGTTGCTTATTTTTGGCAACCCCTCCCCCACATATCCTGTTTTTGAGCACTTACTATTTTTCTGGCTGATTCCCTATCCTCAAGATAGGGAAGATTTATATTAATAGTCAGTGATTTATAACCTTTAACCCTAGTTCTTTGACTATAGCTAAGTATACATAGTATTGTATCTCCGCCTCAGTTTACACAACTGTTAAATGGCAACAAGTAATATCTATTTTATAGGACTACTGTGAGGCTTATAAGATAAAATGTACACAAAAGATTCTGCACTGTGTAAATGTCAGTTATTATTAGTATCTTAATTTGCAATTCACTCATCTTTCTAGTTTTCATTTTACAATGAATGAATGAATTTCAGTAATTTTCGGGCTACATTAAATACTTTAGACATTACTTGACCATGTGTTCTCCCAGCATAGTTAAATTAAACATTCAGACTAAAAGCAGTGGAAAGATAGTTACGCTTTCTTAAGGCCTAGGAAAAATTCCTATGGTCTCTTGAGTATAAGAAGAGGAAATGAGGAAGGTATAGTAGATAATGCTACTGATGAGGATCCTGGTAAGTAGTTTCTACTTAATCAGGTTTTATTGAATGTTAACTAGATGATATATAATTTGGTCAGCATTTTTAAAAATGAAAGAATATACACAGGCATACACAGACAACAGTAACAGTCTTATGGAAAAGGCACTCTCTGAAAAGAAAAAATATGCATCCTAGCCTTGGGTTTCCAACCCATGTAAGAATTTTCTAGCTGTAATTTTATCATCTTCCAACCTCCATCAAGGTAATCTCACTTCATTTACCTTGTAAACAAAAGCTAAGACATTAAATGAAGTCATCTCATAAGTAAAAATACTACACAGATGCAAGGAACACTAGAAAATGATGACAGCATACTCATTAAGTTGCTGTAGAGAACAAGACTATTCTGTAAAATTATGTATCTAGATGAAAAATCCAAGATGAAGCCACACTGTGAGTCCACCAAAACATCAGGTTATGTTATAGTGAATACCCCACATTATGTAAAGGAAGGGAAACTCACGGTCAAAGCTCAAAGAAATAATTATAAAAATGATTATTTAAATAGCAAGTGGAAGCAGGGCAGTCTTCTAACAAAAATTCAGAAAGTCCCCTCCCAGTTCTCCAATATCCTTTCAAGCTCTAAATCTATGATCCCATAATCTCGGAAACAAAAGAACTGTCTTTGTAAATAGCTGAGCAAGACATTCTTCCAATAGTAAACAAAGGTTCACTAATCTGGTACTCTGCTTATTTTTTTTTTTTTGTGGGTGAGAAAGAAGAGCATTCATAGGCCTGACTCCACTGCTGTTTGATGAATAATAATGAAAATCATAACAGAAAATGATAACAATTAGCATTTATACAGCACACTTTAAGGTTTGCAAAAGTGCTTTACATATAACTTTCCTCCTCACAATAACCCTGAGAGGTAGGAGCTATTAGGAAACTGAGGCAGAAAGAACTTAAGTGATTTACCCAACCTCATAAAACTAGTAAATATTTGAAGCAGGATTCTCTGACTCCCAAGTCCAGGACTCTTATTCAATGAACCACCCTAATGTAACTTTGACTTGCTCTGTTTCTGACCTCGACTGGTTTGCCCCTCTATAAGCACCCTGGTGGGCTCCTACTCCCTGGTTGGCACCCCAACGGTGCTAGGTTTAGTGTGGATGCTCACTCAGTTGGCTTGAGTTCCAATGTAGGACATAACTCCTGAGCTCGAAAAAAACCCTCTAGCCTCAGCCTCCCCTTACACGCACCTTCACACCCAGCCTTAGTTTAAAATCTAGAGATCCTAGTTTTGGTAAAGTATTTTGACACTTAATATTAAGTGCTCTTTCCTTTTCCATGAAAGTTCTATTGCTCCAATGCTTTACTTACTGTCATGCAAAGAAGTTCATAACAAGAAGATTACCCTTCAAGCGATGATTTTTTTGGCCTATGCAACATGAAACATGAAGCTGCTGCTAACTGTGCTGGAATCCCTACACTAAAGAAATTATGGGTCAAAGTACTAATTTACAACAAAGTACCAATGCTTTAACAGAAAAATTGTTTTTCCTTAGTTTTACAATTTTTAAATGCTTATTCAATTCTAAAGTACAAAAGTGTTTATTAAAAAACACTTAAAGTGCTTATTAAAAGTATTTATTAGAGACAATCTTTTCACATTTGCAATGAAAGTTAATGGAAAATTTGTATATAGACAGCTTCACAGGCAACTTTTCAGATATAAAAATATGACCCATAATACAATGACACACATTATATAGTGAAATCATAACAAATTACCTGGAAGTAGAAGTCTAATATACCAACCATGTCTGTACCTTCTGGAAAACACTAGAAAAAGAAGAGAATCAATTATGAATATGTGGACTTGAGAGAAAATTTTTTTTAAAAAGCTCAAAATAAGTCAACATAATGCTTATGTCACAGCATTCAATATCCATTTCCAGATGCTGCTTTAACATTATGATGGAAACTTTTAAAGTTATTTTCTTTTTTTTGTTTTGTTTTTTTGTTTTTGCACTGAATGTAGTGGACTTTTATTGATGGTACACAACATAGGACTCTAGGCTTCTCCTGACTACAGGGGTGCTTTAGGACAAGGATGTGAATGGGAAATGGGATCCCCAGTATAGGAACGTAGGTTAGGAATGTAGGCTCCCCAGCGGTGGAACAAGTATTACCATTTAATTTACAAAACTCTGTGGTACGGGGCTACTATAGGCATATATTACAGCAATAAGAAGGGATAATTTAGTAATCACAAATAAATGTTAAGAATGTGATATTATATCACATCTTTTTTTTTTAACTTGAAATAAAATTTTAAAACCCATTTGCATTGTTAAATGTGTTTATACCTTAAAAGCTAAGTGCTGGGTTAGTGTAATCACTCTTCAATGGTTAACAAAATAATCTATACTGAGACAACGAAGGAACATAAAAGCATAACTTGTAGTAAAAAAACAAAGACTGAAAAACCTTTTTCTCCTTTAAGTAATATCCTATTGCAAAATTCCGATCTCCACTTTCTCGTTCAGATTGAAACCTATGAAACAAAATAGAATCAGTCTGGAGAATAAAGTATGGCAATTCTGTAAAACTGTAGCATTCTAAAAGCTAAATTATATATATAAACAAAATCTCCAAAAAGAATTACAATCAAACATTTCACAGAATGTTGTATCACTAAAAATGAATTTCCAGAATTCTCCTACTGTGCCCACATTGCAATTCAGTACAGTTAATACAGACTATACTGAATCACAAAAAGATAATTCTTGAAAAGGCTATTTTCTGTACAATAACAAAGTCTTTCACCTAAGAAAGCAAGAGCATTAACAAAGCTGTTCTTAGGGTGCACTATATAAAACATTTCTATAAAATAATACTAGGTCTTTCAGGATGTTGTATAGAAGGAAATTAAAGAGTTAAGAAATGTGGAGGTTCAAGTATTGGCTCTTTCAAGTGGCTATGTGAGCTTAAGTGAGTTATCCATTCTAGACTTAGCAAAGATTCTGGTAGGGGAGGGCTCACTGTGTCCCCATGCCAGCTCCCCCATGAGACACAATAGGAAAAAGCTGAATCTTCTCTTCCCCTCCCTTAACCCCACTGCCCAGCTCCCACCAAGTGATAGTTGATACTAACTAAGTAGCCATGCTCCATTCTGATCCTCAGGAATCATTATTTCCTTTTGTAATAATACTGATCAGGGACATTACCACTGACAGTGTGCTTACCAGCTTCAATACTTCCAGTAAGGTGGTGGACCACTAGGTCCTTAGCACTTGTCTTGTCATTTTTCCTTAAGAACTCCCAGGCTTAAGACCATTGGGCCTTTGTATCTGCCCTGAATCTAAACCATCCTATATGTGTTGTGAACCCTAATTATGATGGGAGCTCTCTGAGAGTTAAAAACTGCCTTGCACTTCTATTTGTGTGCCCAGGGAAGGCTTAGCACACCTTGGCAAATAATAAGTGTTTACCAAATGTTTTTCTATTCCAGTTCATCTATTCCAGCTTCCAAGTGTCTGAACTCAAGTCATTTGTTCTACCATTTATTCTGTTTGTTTTCAGAACACGCAGAAAATAAACTACAATATGTATTATAAAAATTAGGAATTCTCCAGAAAACAGGACAATCTCATTCTAGCATGAAGCTGATTTGTTTCTTTAGTTAGAAGGAAATCTTTATAATCCAGGTATGGTAATAAGCAGAATAGAAACCATTAACTACAAAAAAAAATTCAGGTTAGTTATTAACTAAGTCATTAAATTAAATGTTTACACTACATATGCCATTAGAACTATAGTTCAGGTACTGAGACACATGAAGACTCACAACTCCATCTGTCACTGCAAATGTTTCAAAATAGCAAGTCACATCTACAAGATTTAGCAATCAAAGATAGAGATTTCCTTAAACATTTACAGAGCTGCTTTCATTGTATTTTCATAGAGCTATTTCTCCTGCTTAGCAACATTCCATTTACTCAGCTTTATTCTTATATAAATCCACATGTGGACAGAATCTGACGTCTATTTCTAATATCATAAAGGCCTAGAAAAATAACATCTTCTGTCTTTTTTCTTTACACTAAAAAACTCAATGTAAGGAAATTACATATAAATTGTATCTCAAATGCTTTATAAACTTAAAAAAAAAAAACAAAGAATTGCTATGTCTGAATGTACTGCACTGTCAATTCTAACTTTTAAGAGAATTAAGTACTGCAGGACATCGTCAACTCATATGGAAGTCACTGTAATGGAGACTCAAAAACAAGCTGCCTAAAAAAGGAAAAATTACAGCTTCCTGAATTCTAATTTTGAAATGTCTGACAGTCATGGCTTATGATGCTATGATCCAAATTCTGCAGCACTCAAATTCACCTCTTCCTTTCCATTTTTACAGTAATCATCCTAATCCAACTAAACAATCATTACTTCTAAGCCTGGACAACTTTAATAGCCAGTTTCCACTGATCTTCTAGCTCTAATCCAACAAGTATACAGATGCCAGAATAATTTTTCTTAAACATATCTTAAGATATTCTATGAATCAAAATTCTAGGATGACAAAATACATAATATTTGATGAACAGAATATTCTATGGAATGGCTAGTGTGGAGAATATGATAGGGATTCACTAAGATAAGAATCTAAGGACTTCCATACAGCAGTAAGGGCCTTTTAAGTATAAATGTGTAGTGGACTCAGTAAAGCAATTTTCTAACCAACTTCCTTCAACAGCATTTTGTGGCTCCAAAGGGAATGAGAATGGCCCAGAGTTAGGGACAGGCAGGGAAGAAACTGATGAAGGTCAAAGGGGTAAGGGGATGCCAGGGTGAGAAGAGTACATTGAGGGTTTTGTTGTTGTTTTTTGTTTTTTAATACTGGATATTCCCATCTCTCCCAAACTGGAAATACAGGGACCATTCTCAGGCTAGATCCTATTACTCAATGGTATGGGAGATCTAATCTGTTCCATTTCCAAGCTGGAGTAGTTTACCCCTCCTCCTTAAGCAACCTGATCACCCCCCATTCCTGTGGGCTCACCATACAGACACTGAACTTGGTGTAATAAATACCCTATGGTCACCTCACTATAGCTCAGAGTTCCCAGTGGCCTCCACCTACTTTGGTGTCTGGGATTATAGTTATTTGCCACCATGCTTGGATGCCAGAAAAGGGAAGACAGACAGGGTGTTCAAAGCAACCAATTCCAAATAAGCTATACAGATTCCTAAACCTGGAGGAGTGAAGGGTGTGGCAAAAAAAAAAAAAAAAATGACAAAGTCAGAGTAGGCAATTTCAGAGCTCAATGTTATAAGTAGATAGCCACAATATGAACTGAAAAAGAATTCTGATTTAAGCGAGATGCTTAAACACAATCTATTCTGCACACAGCATAGTTTTTTCTTTCCCTCAGAATTGTTGTATAGCTTTCCCTACAAGTCCAGAGTGAAAAAAGAGGTGAGGAAGGCCTTGTACATTACATGTAATCAATAAATATATACTGAATTAGTCGACGAATGAACAAAGAATCTATCTTCATTATGGAAGAGGAGAACCAAGGGTTCCACTAGACTCATGAATCAGAGAGGTTTACATGTGATTATGATGATAATAATAATAATAATAATTATAGTAATAGCAGTAATGTTAACAGAAGCTGCAATAGCAGCAGCAGTTAATATTGATATGTTGGTATATATTAGCATATTATTTATATAGTACTTTAATTTTTTTTTTTTCGCTTTTTGGTGAGGCAATCACCCAGGGTCGCACAGTTAGTAAACGTCAAGTGTCTGAGGCCGGATTTGAACCCAGGAGAAAACAACTTTTAATGAAGACTTTTGAGATTTCAAGAAACTTCCCTTGTCTGCTTATTTTGCCCTTTGAGTGTTCCTCCAGAGTTGGAACAGCATAAATCTAGAAAACCTTAAAAGGAGCTATTTACTTTAGGGATGAAAGGGTAGGGGAAATGTTAAGACAGTTAGTTTAACAGAAATATAAGACAAAAAAGATACTCCCCAATACATAAGTATTCAAAAGATATGAGCAAACAGGTCTCAAGATTAATTCTAAACTATTAACAACCATATAAAAAATGATCCAAATCAATAATAAGAGAAATGCAAATCAATACAATCCTGAGGTTATCACTTCACATCCAGCAAAATGGTAAAGATGACAAAAGATGGGAATAATTCAATGTTGGAGGGGTTGTGAATTCATTGTTAGTAGAGCTGTGAACTGATATAACTAGTCCAGAACTTTGGAGCCAGACATTCTACTCCAAGGCATATAACCCCAGGGAGGTCACTGACAAGAAGAACAGCTCAATATACACCACAATATTTACAGCAGCACATTCCATGGTAGCAAAGACTTAGAAACAAAGTAGATGCCCATCAATTGGGGGAAGGCTAAACAAATGGTACTACAAGAATAGAATGGAATATTATTGTGCTGTAAGAAATAATGAACATGATGAATATGGAAAAGCAAGAAAGACTTACATGAACTGATGAAAGTGAAGTAAGCAAAGTCAGGAAAACAATATACACAATGACTACAATAAAATAAGGGTTTAGTCTACTGATGCTTTTTGCTTTAAACCACTTATGAAAGAAATCATATGGAAACAAAGGATTCCATCTTGTTGGATAAAAGCATGCAGTAAAAGCATCACTAATTTGAAATCTGTGGTAAACAGCATTCATCCTGGAGTTTACCTTTGCCAGTTTTATGATTAAAATGTTCCCTAAAAATATTAATACTTTAAGGAAAGTCAATAGATTAGCCAACCTATTTAAGGAAAAATGTTTTCAAGTGCTTCGATGAGGCTAACGCATTAGTCTAGTTTCAAATTCTGAATATTCATATAAAAGTACATTTTAAAATATTGTAGTAATTTAAACTAACATTTCCCTTCCCATCCCACATAAAAACTCCCCTACACTGAGTAAATCCAATAGGAGAGACTCACGTGGCATTACTGAATCCAACATATTCATTACCAGCCATCTTATTCAAAAATTGCATCACCTATAAAATAAAATTTTAAATTTTTAAAAAGCTTTAATATAATGAAATGATCAGAAGGAAAAATACTGAAGATGACAAGGTGAGAAATATAGTTCACTTACATAGTCAAATTTTTCAGCATTATTAACTCCTTGCTGCAAAGAAAAAAACGAGAGATAAGAAAGTGTTAACATGTTAATTACTATAAACTTTGAAACTACATACAAATATCCAGTACTTTAAAATTTCTACCATTATAACTGGTACATTAGTACTTTTAAATTTAAGAAAATACTATTCAAATAATTTAGTATTTAGATAAACTCTGCTTTTACTACATATAAATTCTTTCATCAAACACCTGTATATCGAGAATGAATTTGGAGGAGGAAGGGAATGCTTTATTTTAAGTATTTTAAAAATCCCAACACAATCATATAGAAGCTAACTATATAAGTGTAAAAAAATTCTTCTGATTTTGTCCCATTAGCACATTTTGCTCCTAGTTCAGGTTTGCTAGGATCAGTGCTGTCAATTTACTTAATATCAAAGACTTAAAATAAAGTTTTACCCTTAGCACAGGAACAATCACATTTTAATTATTATTTTCAATAACTAGTCTTAATCAGTGCTAGAGTTAGAAGAGTAAGTTATTTTTTCATAGCTGACTAGGATTTTATTGTTATAGTTTTCTTCAAAAAAAATCTAGGTATGTAAACTACTGGTGTAGAGTGAAGTCTACACTTATCATTTACTACACCAATACCTTTGGCTACCAGTTTTATTCCAGAGTCCATTCTGTAGAAGACTGGCTACAACAAAATGTGGCATTGAACCAAGTTCAGTTTATGAAAGATGTATTGTTTCATCTTTCTAATTCTAACATTTGAGTTACTGCAAATTTAAACAGAAAAACCCTACTAAGCTTACTTTGTTTTCAAGTAACCAAATGGTTTCATTTTACCTCAGAGAAGTTTACAAAGCAGTAAGTTGTAGATCTGAAATCAAACGTATTAATTGGTGATATGCACCACAACAGAAACAATACATCTTTAAATTTTTTTTAAAAAAGTTTAGTATAAAATAATGCAACTACTTTATATAACATAAGTCATATCCTAAAAAAGTCATATTTTTATCATAAAGGGAAGGACAACATATCAATATTTTACTTGGTGAAAATGCATAAAGCCAGGTTTCATTTCCCACTCTACTATGGATTGGGGTGTTTGCTGATAATCTGTGAATTCCCATGTAACTAAAACTTCTCCACAAGAAAATGAGCATGTGCAGTCGCACACATACGATCACTAGCTGTAAGGAACATCATACACTGTTGTATCAAAAATGAGCCCTAATCAAACTTAAAAAGTATAAAATAAAGGCAACTAAGCAATAACCATATTGTAGTCATATCTAACTGTTTTCCCTACAAAGCCTCCATCATGAAACATTTCATCAAAATGTTTTGTTTCTAAAATATAGCAGAAAATACAAAATGTAGAAATGTAACTTCCCAGCTGTTCAATGAAAAATAATTAAAAGAAGAAATTACCAACTTCATTGAACTGTGTTGCAGTTGTCAAAATATTCCATAGATCCTAATGCTGTAAAATATGTAACAACATTTAAACCACAAAAACCTTTTCAACCTTTTAAAAAAAACAAAGAACATCTCTTTCGGAAAGGTACGTCAGCATTAGTTATGGGATGTAATATGGAGAATTACTTGATTATACATTTAGTAAAATAAAGCAAGTTACACTTTGGTTCTGTTTAGTTCTATATGAGTATAAATTTTTGATGTCTGGTTTTATTTTGGTCCTTTAGTCATTATTTAAAATGACAAACATAAAAATTTCTTAAACTCCAACTAGGCAGATGCCTGGGTTAAGTAATAGATCAGCAAATCAAGGAAAAAAAATTTCATTTTGCTTCTACTGAACATTTAAGAAACTGTACGAGTTAATAAACAAATGTCTTTCTTGCATAGTATCTCATTTATGTAAAATGTGTTAAGAAAGTCATAACTGAAATTCACATCCTGTTATGTATAATGGAGAAAAATAAGACATTTAAACGGCTTTGGACTTAGTATCTTGACCACAAATTCCATATTTTGATTTGAAATTATTATAAATAACATTTAAATGTTAAATCATGGAAAGTCTCATCTATCATTAAAATTAAATGCTACCTATATTTTCCCAATAATAACTTATAAATACTCATTTTGGGCAATTTTCCCCATTTAAATTGTAACAGATTGGCAAAACTGAAGCTTAAGTTTTGGATGTCTTTTTTTTTTTTTTGGAGAAGGAGGCAGGGGTGGTTAACTTTCTTATGTTTCAGATTAAATTTTGTACACTTTAGGAAAATATACATGCAGGTTTCATCCTAACATATGTGTTCATGTAGATACACATGTATATGTATATATAAACATATATACACAAATAAAAATATATTGTTACATTTACCATATGCATGCTGATGTGTATATATCATATAGACTATGTACATGCTTTTATGTATGCATATATATATTTCCACACACAATCATTCCTTTATTAGAGATATATACACATAAACATGAAAAAAGTTTCTAAATAAATACAAAGTATATTTATACAGTAAGCATTATGTCTAAAACAACAAATGGGATCCCTACAATATATGTATCTAGATCAACTCTAAATTTCCTCATCTCTGATAACCTGAAAAACTACACTGGCTAGAAATTTTTATTGTCCTATAGGAATCTGATATTAATTAAAAATAAGAGTTTAGTATTAGTCATTTAGCTCTACTTTTTAAAAAAAATGTCAATGTTTTTATGGAAGAGGTATTAATACATGTGCATTTTTTACAGTACTCTTGAAAAAGATGCTACTTTAAATTTATGAAGTCTTGAGTAAATGATTCTTTTTTGTTTTGTTTTGTTTTTGGTTAGGCAATGGGGTTAAGTGACTAGCTCAGAGTCACACAGCTAGTGAGTATCATGTATCTGAGGCCAGATTTGAACTCGGGTCCTCTTGAATACAGGCCCAGTGCTCTATCCACTGTGGCCACCTAGCTGTCTGAATAAGTGATTCTTAATTGTGTACACGGAAGTTTAAGTACTTGAGGAAAAAGTGAAATGAACAAAAGAAACTCAAAAAAACTAACCAACTTCCTAATTAACTTCTCAAGCAGTGTTTAAAATATAGAGTACCCAAAATGCTTTCTGCAGTTCACACAAAATTGGCATACACTCTCATCTTAACCTCAAACACATAGTAGTACCACGTTATCCAGATTCACACCTCTAGCAATATAACTATCAACTACAAATAGACAGTGCAGCATAGCATAATGTCACTGGACATGTAGTCAGTCAGAAGACTTGAGTTTGAGATTTTCCCCTGCCTTTCACTAGCCACGTAATAGCTTTCTGAATCCCACTTTCCTCACCCATAAAATGGGGATAGTTACTCTCGTCCTATTTCAAAGAGCTACTGTGAACATCACGCATGGGGAATGAAGTACTTTGCAATTGTACAGTACTGTATAAAGACGTTTTATTATTATGACAAGGAACTAAATTTTGGAGGAGAGTTAACTTTCCATGTCAATTTTGAAAAAGCAAAGAGATGATATAGAGTAGAGTAGAACCCATTTGTAACAACTGGAGCTTAAGGTGTTAAATCAACTGTTTATTTTAGTATATATTTTGGGAAACATAATCCAACCCATAATATAGCTAAGTACTTATAAATAAAGGATGTTACAAAGGGCTTCTACTATATATTGATGTGGAAAATACTATCAGATGACTATGAAACAGCACTTAAAAAGAGCAGTTTCCACCAATTTAATATATAGGATGGTCCATTTATAAAATCAGTTAACTACAAAGAGTTTAGTTTGTTTTTCTTCTCTAAATGAGCTACCTGATTCCAATACCTAATGCAACAAGCCATCCTATATAT